TTTGGTATCTCATGAAAAAATTTCTTAAAAAACAATTAGTAAATTGTTTTAATAGCATAGTCAAACAACTTTAGAAGCTTATTAATAATCAAACTGTTATTATTTAATGATAATAAACAATTGTTCACAATAATAAAATCATTAATTTATTTTTTTTAATGATCAATTTTTTGAAAATGTAATATGTTCATTATCTAGAATTTTAGTATTAAATTCTCAAATGTTACTTATAATATTTTATGTACATCTGTGCATGTGCACAAGATATCTACTAGTTACTCACTACAAGAAAATGATTGAATTCCAACGGAAATATATTTCAAAAGAATTATTCCAACGGCAATTCCAACGGATATTTCAAAACTATTATTTCCGTTGGAATTTTTCAATGGATTCCAACGAAAATTCCAACGAATATATTCCATTGGAATGGGTTTTCCATTGGAATTTTCGTTGGATTTTGACAATTCCAACGGTGGGGGTGGAAAAAAAATTCCAACGGAATTTGCATATTCCAACAGAAATTCCTACGATAAAAAGCCGTTGGAAATATAGCCGTTGGAATAATCAAATTTCATCTAAAATTCCAATGAAAAACACATTCAAACGGAATATTTCCGTTGGAATTTCTGTTGGAACTATTCCAACAGAAGCTATTCCATTGGACAAAAATTCTATGGAGCCATCGGATTGTTTTCTTATGGAGTCATCCATCACTTAATATAGTGACACCTGTCTAAATTGTATTTATTGTAGGACACGTGTCAATGCACTATTGGTGATTAAGTATGGATTGCTCCATAAGCCGAACCATCCGATGGCTCCATAGCAAAACTGTTCCATTGGAATATCCGTTGGAATTTCTATTGAAATATATTACCATAGGATTTTCCGTTGGAATATAATATTTATTTTGTAGTGACTTTAATGAGCCCTATAAAGTATAAACTTTAACTAATTTAACACATCGGATTATGAAAATTTATAATAATATTATTTGTGATTGAATAAATTAATAGGTAAATTCAAGTGATTTGGTGTAACCGTGTAACTGTATTTGGATAGGCAAAATCATAGTCAAAGAGCGAAAAGTCCTCTATTTTGACCTCATTTAAATTTTTATTCTTTTTTTGTTAAAATAAGACGAAAACAATTGCCGTATTATTGGGCAAGTAAGTGTGATAATTTATAATACAACAGTTATTTGTACCAAAAAAAAATAATAATAATAATACAACATTTATTTGTTTACAAAGGTATAGGAATTTGACAAAAAAATAAAAAAATAAAAAATGGTACAACATTTATTTGTTTACAAAGGTATAGGAATTCGATTTAATTAACGATTAAGTGATCTTACACAAGAATTTTTAAAAAATATTATGAACTCAGCACTCTTTTAAAAGGGTTAGAAGGATTATTTAAAGGAAGAAAAAATATTTAATTAATTAAGGGAACAAAAATTAAAAATAATGTTTCTTGTACAACTTTAAGGAGGGTGAGTGACATTTTAAGATTTTTTTAACTTCTTAGATTTGTTGATTTTAATGAAATTATTAGAAGTCTTAGATCTTAAAGAGGAATTTGTTGGTGAGATTTTGCATATGTTAAACTTATTTTTAAAATTATAACAAATCTAAAAATGTCATAATAAATCTCATTGTCAATTAAGTTAAAATACTTTAGGACTATTTGAAACTTTATAAAATGTCAAGTGACTACACTACTTAAAAAAGAAAAAAGAAAATAACATATTCCAACAAAAAATACAACGGTAAAATATTAAAATTAATATTTAAATGGTATAAGTTCCATTAAAAAGTTCCAACGAGAATTAATATTAAATTATTCCATTGGAATTACATTTACCTTTTAGAAATTTTGTTGGAATGTGATGATTCCATGTACCATTATTCCAATGATTTATTGTTATAAGAATTTCCATTGAAATTTATTTTTCACCTATATTTCTATGTTGCTCCCAACATAATACTTTTGTTGGAATCCTTTGAATCAACACAAATAATAAAATTAGAATATTCATTATAGTTTTCATTGAAATTTCATTAAAATATATTTTCCTCGAAATTTCATCATGTTATTGTAGTGATTCCCTTAAGATTTTATATAAATTCTAAAAGAATCTAAATTGAATATACCAATTTCTTTTAGAATCTAAAAAAAAAAATAGACATCCCAAATGACTACATACAAGATAGAGCGCTTAAAATATTGGCCAATTTACACTCTTAATGCATGTTTTGTCTTTAATTGCATGTATACTACCTATATAAAAGGTATTTCATCGATACATAACTCTAGCAAAATAATTAGCATTTCCAAGAAAAAAAAAAAAAACGACCATATCCTCTTAATTAATTAATTTACACAACTGCTGAGATTACCATTAGCCATGAGTTTCGCCTACCAAAAATACTAACGAAATTGTCCCCTTAAATAGCGTAATTGATTCGCATTAGTGAAAAAATTAAAAAAAAAAAAGAAACTAAAAGCTAGTATATGGATGGAAAGATAAACTGAAGAATAAAAAACATACTATATAAATACATAGTTGTCGCCGGATTTACTTCGATGTATAAACGTATTATATACATTTTATAAACATTTTATATATTATTGATTTTCTTTTCAGGTCCAAAAAGTTAGTGATATGGTGTTCAAGGTATTATGTGATGGGAAAGCTTGTATCTATGTTTTATAAACAAAAAATATATGTTTATCTATCTTTTTAATTGCCGTTCAGTATATGTTTTACATATAAATAACGCATATATACTAAGAATTGTGTTTATTGTACAACTAGTATACTTATATACCTTACATAACACGTTTGGAACTAACACTGATTCTACACTACTTTACCGTGCTATATAGCAAACAAAAATTGTAACATATACAAATTATAAATTTGTATCAAACACATGCTTACCTATTATAAACCCGTATTCCGGAAAAAAAAAATCGTATATAAAACATCAAATAAACATTGAAACAAATCATATCGAATATGTTACTTATAAAATGAGAAATATCTTTAGTAGGAGTGTAATTTTCTCTAAAATTTTAGGTCACAACTAGCTCAAATAATTTTGGGCCCTGAATTCCTTAAAGATATTTTTCAGAGTTAGGCCCCGCAGTTTACCAAACTAAGTCCAACTTTAGCTGAGACTCGTATAGTTTGTCAAGTTGTCTATTGAAGTAGGTCCAACACAATATGTTGACTATAATTA